GGGGGAGCGCACACATCCTATAGTGAAAACCTCTCCAAGAAAAAAAAAAAAAAACTATTGAGCCACTAAGAATTTGAACCCAGATTTCTTGGCCCCAGGGCTCTTGGTCTTAACACTATATTTTGAAAATTGAACTATTTACAGATGGACGTTAGCAAACACATTACCCTGGGCAGGTGCACAGTGGAAGGCATGGTTGGAGTGCCAGGGTAGAGGGCTTGTTCAAGGGGTCACACCCTTTACCTCTTCTCTTGCAGCGGTCCCAGTCTCCAGCCGCCTCTGACTGCTCATCCTCGTCTTCCTCGGCCAGCCTGCCCTCCTCCACCAGGAGCAGCCTGGGCAGTCACCAGCTGCCCCGGGGCTACATCCCCATCCCTGTGATACACGAGCAGAATGTCGCCCGGCCAGCAGCCCAGCCCTCCTTCCACCAAGCCCAGAAGACCCACTACCCAGCTCAGCAGAGTGAATACCAGACCCACCAGCCTGTGTACCACAAGATTCAGGGGGATGACTGGGAGCCCCGGACCCTGCGGGCTGCATCCCCATTCAGGTCACCCGTCCGGGGTGCGTCAAGCAGGGAGGGCTCTCCAGCCAGAAGCAGCGCACCGGCGCCCTCTCCGTCACCCATCCGAGTGCACACCATGGTCGACCGGCCTCAGGTATGGGAAGTTAGGTGACGGTAGACACTACAGCAGCACCACTGCAGGCCAAGTAACTCTGCAGGTGCCCTGGGTTGCTCCACCAGTTCTGCCTAGTTAACCTATGCGTAATGGGGGGAAAGTGAGATTCTGCAAATTGTTGGTCATCATCAGGAATGCACTTTCTGCAACTTTTGCTCAGCTGGTCATTTTTCACTCCTGCCTTAGTGGCAAAGGATACTCAACTCTTGCAGTCATTCATGTACCTGGGACCAGGTTCCTTAATGCCCACCTTATCCTCTCAGGGCCCTTCACTTCCATCCACTGCCACGCCCAGCCTCATCTCTGGGCTCCTCACGGTTCCCCTTTCCGCTCTGCAAGCCCATCCTGCTCATTCCCACCCCTGTGCCTTTACTCACGTTGAATTCACTCTCTGGAATTCCCACACAGACCCATGTGCTCCCCATCCTCCAAGAGATGAACCAGTCTTGTCTCTTCCATGCAGCCTACTTATGTTTCTCTCTCATTACTGTTACTGTACGAGTCCCTCTTGTTCAGCACGTGATTATTCTGTGTATGTATTTCAGAAGTGTCTGCTGTATGTTTTAGGCTTGGTGCTGAGTTAGACAGCAAGAACCATGTCTTTCACCTTTCTCCTCCCTCTGTACCTGGCTAATGTGTCAGCCAGCAGCAGTGGATGGGAAACCATCCTGACCTGGCTATGGCTGTGGGCACAGGTTTGCTCTCTCTCCGGGGGAGACATGTAGGGCAGTTGGTTCCTGGAGGAGGGAGATCACTGAGTTTGAGCAGCTTGCAGCTCAGCAGCAGAACAGGGCAGCCCAGGCCCCCTCTGGCTGCTATATGAACAGGCAAATTAATTCTGTGCCCCAGTTTTAAAAAGGAAAGCCCCCTGTGAACACATGTGGGTTATCCTTTTGCTACACATGGTGACACCATCCAGGCCTAGAATCGAGCTTATCCTTTTCCTTTTCTAAAGAACTATTTACTTAATTTTACTTTTATTATTACTATTATTTTAAGTTGCTATAGGTCTTGTGTGCTTACCAGAGAGAAAGAGAGAGAGGGAAAAAAAGTGAGAAAGCAAGCCACCAGGTCTGGGACTGAATATGCTATAGGGCATGTGCACTCACTGGAGAGAGAGAGAAAGTAAGAAGCAAGCTAGCAGGTCCAGGACTCAAACTGCAGTTGGCCATGTGGGAGTCCAGTGCCTTCACCACCATACCACCTGCTGGCCCCATATCATCCTTTTTCAATCTTCTTAGCTTTTTTATTTGGAATTAATTTCAACCTTAGAGGAAAGTTGTAAGAATGATATAAAGGAGTCCCATATACCCTTCACCCAATACACTATTTGTTCATGTTTTGCTGCATTTGCTGTCATCTCTTTTCTCTGTGTACATGAGAGATCTTTAAAAAGTTCAGCAAATGAGTGTTGTGAAAAAACTGTGCATGGATTTCAAACTTTTTTTGTGTGTGTCAAAATAGCTCATCCTTTAATTCCATTTTTCTGCAAATTTTTTGAAGTCTCTTTATATTATCTCATATATTTAACTGTTTGAGAGGTAGCTATAGACATCATATGTTCCTTATGCCCCTAAATACTTTAGCAGATATTTTTGTTAGAAAAAGATATTCTCATTCATAACTATAAGAAAATTATCAGAGGGGGCTGGCGGGTGGCGTGGTGGTTAGGGTTGGTAAACTCCCACATGGCAACTGCAGTTCGAGTCCTGGACCTGGCGGCTTGCATGCTCACTTTCCCCTTTCTCTTTCTCTCCCTTTGTCCCTCTCTGGTCAAATTAAATAAGTAAATAAAGTTAAATAAAATAATTATTTTTAAAAAAGAAAATGATCAGATTCAAGATTTCATTCTTACCATATTATTCAATATACAGTCCATTTTCAAAATCTCCTTTACATTTTCCCTGTTTTGGGATCTAATTCAGGATGATGAGCAGTGTGCGTAACTGTTCCTTCTCTTTGGTATCTTTTAATTGGAATGGTTCCTTGGCCTTTATTCACTTTCATGGCCTCGACATTTTTGAAGAGCACAGTCCATAGAGCACCCTCTTCAAAGTGTTTCCAAAGCCACAGCTTCTTACACAGCCAGTATTTCTAAAACTCAAGGAGAGGCATGTGGTTGGTTCTCAAGTGGCAAGGGCCAAAGTAGAGGATATCTGGATTGTTGGCAAAAGAGACTTAAAGGAAAAAGAGACCGCTAGTGTTTAAAACAGCTGTGTGTCACACCAGCCCCTACTCAGTTCAGCATTCCTAGGAAAGAAGTGCCCATTGTGAGAGAAATAGTTCCCCACATATTTGTCCCATACATTTCCCATAATCAGTGAGACAATATTTAATCTTACTTTCATTCCATTAAACTTTTCATGGTGGCCTCCCTTTTATAGTTCATTCAAAGCTCTCTTTTTCTGGAGGCTTTCAAGGATTTGACCTAACTGAACATCAAGTATCTAGAACTTTAGAAATAATATGGTCCAATGTGTATTTCCCGGTTGATCAAGTAGGGTGTATGACATCTTCAAAGAGATTTTAGGTATTCACTTCAAGGAAAGCCAAGATATATCTGTTTTGAACATAACTCATTTTAAAAACTAGGACTGGTGGGGGCCAGCAGGTGGCATGGCAGTTAAAGCACTGGATTCCCACATGGCCAACTATGGTTCAAATCCCAGACCTACTGGCTTGAAACTCATGCTGGGCACATGTGTATGTATGCCCCAAATCTCAAAAGGCGAATGAAGGAGAAGGTCTTGCAGTGTGGCCATCCCTTTGGGGAGTGATTTTTACTTCCCCTCTCTGTCGAGTGCTTGTGCTCTATGACAAAATCTTTTGAAAAAATAATCCCCAAAACAAAAAAACCATGGCTAGAATTTACTGTCGCATGCAAGATGGTGCAGCCACAGGTCAGTGTGGAGATGCTGCATCGTAACTGAGTGTTAGGCTCTGACACCAATGCACTCAAGTGAAAATTCTCAAATTATCTGGAGCATCTTATTCTCATAAAATACATCAGTCTAGTCAGAAACCATTAGACTGTCATAGGTATGTTGGCTAGTTGTTGTTTAAAGATGATCCTGTCTTTTCTGAAATAAGATGAAAAGGTCACACCATGATTAGAGGCTGGCTCTCTACACAGATAGGCAGGGAGGACCAGTGGCAGTGACTCCATGGCTGCATCCCCAGAGTCAGAACCACTACCCTGCTCAGCAGTCAGCATGAGCTATTGCTCTTTTCATTTTTGAAATTATGTTGGTTTTCCTTTCATTGCTGTAAGAATACCATCTACAGAGAATTTCAGTGCAAGATAACATAAATAGCCCAAGATGATGAATGAATGGAGGCCCAACAAATGGTTTAGTCATATGTCCAAGGTTAATTTGATGTTTTTATTTATAATGGCTGATGATTGGTTTTGAAAATCTTTTATACTGGTAAACTTAAAAAAAGAAAAATTCCCAGTTTTCTTTCTGATTGGTACTACCTATAAACTACTACCTGTGATTTTCAGTTAGTTATTAAAAATGTCTTTGTGTCTGTTTTTTTCCACAGCAGCCCATGACCCATCGAGAATCTCCACCTGCATCCCAACCTGAAAACAAACCAGAAAGTAAGCCAGGCCCAGCTGGACCAGACGTTACTCCTGGACACATCCCAATTCAAGTGATCCGCAAGGAGGCAGATTCTAAACCTGTTGCCCAGAAGCCACCCCCTCCTTCTGAGAAGGTGGAAGTAAAGGTGCCCTCTCCTCCAGTTCCTTGTCCTTCTCCCAGTCCTGCCCCTTCTGCTGTCCCCTCTTCTCCCAAGAATGTGGCTGCAGAAGAGAGGGTAGCCCCCAGCCCTGCCCCTGTGGAAACTACTGCCCCCAAACCAGGAGAAGCAGAAGCTCCCCCAAAGCACCCAGGTGTGCTGAAAGTGGAAGCCATCCTGGAGAAGGTGCAAGGGCTGGAGCAGGCTGTGGACAACTTCGAAGGCAAGAAGACTGACAAAAAGTACCTGATGATCGAAGAATATTTGACCAAAGAGCTGCTGGCCCTAGATTCAGTGGACCCTGAAGGACGAGCCGATGTCCGCCAGGCCAGGAGAGATGGGGTCAGGAAGGTTCAGACCATCTTGGAGAAACTTGAGCAGAAAGCAATCGATGTCCCAGGTCAAGTCCAGGTTTATGAACTCCAGCCCAGCAGCCTGGAGACAGATCCACCACTTCAGGCCATCATGGAGCTGGGTGCCATGGCAGCAGACAAGAAAAGTGCTGGAAACGCAGATCCCCAGACGGAGACGCAGCAGCCGGCAGCCAAAGAGGCAGCAGCTCCAAACCCTAGCAGCACAACAGATGCAGCTGGTAACCCAGCAGCACCGTAGTCTCCACTCAGTAAACTTCAGGAGACTTGGAACTGATTGTGTGCATTAGGGATTTTAAGTTGCATGCATTTCAGGGACTTTCAGTCAGTTGGTTTTTCTTATTCATAGCCGCTTGGTACGCAATAACTTGGGTGGAGGCAAAACACACTAATTAGAGGGCTAAACAGAAAATGATGCTTTCTTCTGTATTCTTATTCTGTATAAATAAAGAAGTTGTTGTTCAGAAGTTTAACCCCATTGCTTGTTGATTGGGGGCCCTCTCTGGACGGGCACCATGCGTTAGTTGTGATTGTGAGCCGTCTTCCTACAGCTCTGGGCTGAAGGAGTCGTGGGGGATCGATGAGTCAATTTCCCATCACATAAATATAGGAAACCCGTTTCTCAGAAATGTTGCCATTTAATGGGATGATTTTCTTCATCTCGTAGTTAAAATATGTAACTTTAGATAGAATAAAATGTGTAAGGAGCCATGTGTAAGGAATATCTGTATGTTGGATGGCTTTAATGCTACATTTAAAAAGAAAAGAAAAATAAAGTTAAATATAACTAAAATGGTTTTTGTGGTTTCTAAAAGTTTGAAGAATGGCAGCATCAAAATTGTCTGTCCTTGGTTTCAGTCAGAATAAATGGCAGATGTGTTTACAAGCCTGGCCTGGGATTTGTGATGTTTCTACCTGCCTCGCTCATGAGCAAATGTGCCGGCCACGTTACAGTCTCAGAGTATAGCTGGGACCTGGGAAGGCCTAAGGCCGTGAACTCAGCTAGCGGAAATGTGCCCGCCATACCCCTCCAGACTTCCCCCACCAGTAGTCGAGGTGCTACTTCGGCAGTATTTTTGCCCACTTGGCCTCCAGCCACCCTTGAGCCTCATCGAGGGCTGAGATGGTTCAGAAGTACACAGGGAACCCAGTTCCAACTTGCCTGAGCTGGCCAAAGTGTTCCATGGAGTCCAGGTCACTGGGAGTTGGAAGTGCATTCTGAGAGTCTTGGGGTCATCTTTATCTGATACCTCTCTGAGTCACCAAACCTGACTGGGACCAGGTTTATCTTTCCAGATTGGGTTCCTAGAAGCCTCCAGGGTTAAGGACCAGATGAACCAGAATCCACCAGGTAGAAAAAGATCCTACTTTCTTTTTTTAAAGCTTGAAAAAGGACCACAGCCCTAGAATGTGGAGATGTGCTTGTTTTGTTTCTTACCTGCTCACCAAATACAGTGAAAAGAGAAAAGCCCGAGACCTTGGAACTCCCAGTGAGCCTGCTTGCCTTCCAAGCCCCTGAGCTGAATTTCTCATGACTGTATTGAGTTTAATATTGGTGCCTGACGACGCTGCACAAAAATACACGCGGGTGTACTTGCTGCTCTTAGCTTGCTGAGGAAGGTTGAAGTCATTCCGATGGAAGCTTGCCAACGTCATTCCTGGGTGAACTCATTTGGGGAACACAAGCCGACATGCCACTCACTGATTCTAGAAACTCCCAACATGTAAATCGGAAAAATGCCTACCGGACTATTTTTAAAATGAACTGAAGATAAAAAATGTGACCCCTTCTTTTTGGGACTTGGGCATCTATTCTCAATGGACCTCAAACAACATTAAGTCTCCTTGAGAGTTTACTGAATTAGGTTGATGCTATTTTTATCGCTAAACATCATCAATAAGCAGCTCCTTAGTGGCATTTTTTTTTTTTCTTTAAACTTTTGCTAGAGGCCATGTGTGTTTGCTAGAGAGAGGCAGAGAGGGAAAGTTAGAAATCCCCCCATGGGAGGTGGTCATGTTACAATCCTTTCTCCATTTCTCCTTTCAGGATTTTGGATGTGCACACACACACATGCACACACACCCATGCCTGCTTTTCAAGACCCCAGGCCAGACTCAAATGGTACAGTTGGCCATGCAAGATCCAGCTGCTGCCCTAAGCATGACATCACTGGCCCATGTAGTTCTATTTCCAGTTATCCAAATTCCATGTAACATGGGTATCAGAATAGGAATTACCTGGTCTGGCTTCAGTCCCTGGGCCCTGCATGGAGGTTATGCGCAGAGCCGACTGTGAGGCTTTTACTAGCATAACTGTCTTGGCCTCTACAGGTTTTGGGGGACAAATACCTACTGAGTATCTAGCAAAATTATCCCAATGCCCTTTAGACATCACAGTTAAGAGCACAGGCTTAAGTACCAGGCCCTATGGCTGGTGCCTGTAGTCCCAGTTGGGAGGTTAAGGCAGGAGGATCATGGGTTCAAGGCCAGCCTGACCTTGTCTCAAAAATAGGGGGCGGGGGTGGGGTGGAAGCCCAGCACAGGCTTGAATCAGTCAGAACTTCTGGATTAAAATCACAGCTTTGGTGTATAATATCTTCCGGACGATTGAAAAGTTACATCAACTTTCTCAGTCTGAGTTCTTCTAAAATGGCACGAAATGATTAAACGAATTCAGACACGGGAAGGGCTAGAAGTAGTGCCTGGCACCCAACAAAAGTTAGCCGTTATTACTATTTGTTCTTAGAAAGATTTTTGCTGTAGAGTGCATGCGCTCACCAGAGAGACAGAGACAGAAAGCAAGAAATCACCCCCCAGGGGGTTTGGCCACCACAATTCCTCCCTCTCCATTCTCCTCTTGGGACCTTGTGCGCACACACTCCTGGCATGAGTTTTAAGTCGCCAGATCCAGGACTCAAACCACAGTCAACTCTGGGAGTCTAGCGATGTAACCGTTAACGCCATCTGCTTGTCCCAAAAGGTAGCCAATTTTAACATCACCGCTTGAGGAAACAAAGTGACTTGCTTACCCTCATAACCATGAGCAGATTGCAGGCTTTGAATCCAGGTCCATAAAACATCAAAGACCACCTTAGTCTCACCACAGTGCACCATATTCCTTGAGCTCCAAGTGAGTCATAGTGCCCAAGAGGGAAAGGACTTTCTTAAGTACCACAGAATGACCTCTCACCTGCTCCTAGACAGCATTTATTACTGTATATCGACAGTGGCGATATATAGTTTCAAACTCTTAAGAGATGATTCCTGTCTCCCAGATAAAGCAAGTGGTTCAGGACTAGTAAATAAGGGTGTCTGTACTGAAAGCCGTGTCTACACTAGAGGCCACATGCAACATCAACATTTGCAGCCCTGATCTCTGGATTCAGTTGCCAAAGCTCCCTCTTCTTTCTCTCACCTCTGGGCCCCCATTCTCACCTGTGACACTTGCCTTCCCTGCACCCTTTCCCAGGTCTTTGGCCACCCTAAGGCCACCATGTTCTGAAATCTTCCCCACTTGGACTACGTTTTCTCTCAGATTTTCCCGACTCCTAGCACCCTTGCAGCTATTTGCCGGCACTTAGTCGTTTTTCTTGTTGCTTCAACGTGTCGTCATTTTCTCAGCAAAACTCAATTTCCCTAGGCATGTCCATCCTGATCCCTCTTTATTCTCCCAATTCAGGCCTGGATACGTAGGCACCCTGAATGGAGGAAACTCTTTAAAGTCTTTTAAAGTTTAAGATCTTAATGATTTCAAGGCTAAATTGATATTTCTTTTTCTTTCTTTTTTTTTTTTTCTTGAGAGATTTTCACTATAGGGTGCATGCGCTCACCAGACAGAGAGAGACATTAGAGACAGAAAGCGAGAAACCACCCCCCAGGGAGGATGGTCACGCCGCAATCCCTTCTCCTCCATTCTCCTCTCGGGATCTTGGGCACGCACGCACACGCGCCCAGCGTGAGTTTTAAGCCACTGGGTCCGGGACGCGAACCGCGGTCGACTACGTGGGAGTCCAGCGACATAGCCATTACGCTAACTGCTGGTTCCCATTGCTAAATTGATATTTCTTCAGAAATAAATATCATCTGGAGATAAATGTTATCCGGAGGGCCAGCTTTTCCACCAAGCATTACAAGGATTCCTCTTGTAATCCCTAGAATCTGATGAAGTCGTTTCCTCCCCCTGGGCCTTTCCCTTGCCATCTATGCAAGGTGGGCACTGACCGAGGCCCGTGTTGGTCTGGATGATTCTGCTAAGTCCTCACTTGTTACTGTTGTGGTCTCTTCTTAATATTTCTCCCTAAACAGCCCAGCCAGGCAGCATGGCAGGAGACTCCACTGTAGGCCGCACATTCCTGCCAGCCCCCGTGTGAGTGCGGCTGGCCTGCCCACTGTTCTGTAACATTATACAAATGTAATCATATGCCAACGGGCAGGATCCAGGGTTGCAGTTATTTTGGGATGTGCGGGAGCCTGTTGGAAAATGCTGGAACATGTCTTAGTCACTCGGGTAAATACCTTTCTTTCCATGTTCCTGCATGTTTTGAGCTTTCAGGCCGCACAAAAAAAGCTCAAGCAGGCGCACACACCCTTTGTGCTTTGGTGTGCCCTTCCTGAGCGGCTCCCATCTCTCGGCCTGTGCCACCACATCCTCTGGGCTCTGAAGAACTTGAGTGCAGAGGCATGAGAGCAGGCCCGGATTCAGCCCCTGGAGGCCCTACGTGTAAAAAAAAATTGTGGTGCCTCCCTCAGTATGAGTCAGAATAAAAATAGTAGTAATCTATCAAGGCAGAAAGATATGAATTCCCCATGTTATAATTTGTCGCTTTAGAAAAAGTTTATTCATTTATTTCTTCTGTGAGTGTGTGAGATAGAAGCAGCACCCAACAGGGTCTTGATACTCCTCTAATCCATCCTCCAGCTTCAGCCAGGCCTGGATCATGGGCACGCATGTGCCATGTGTATTCAGGGAGCTCTCTGTACGTGAACCTGGAACCTTCCACGTGGGTCAGCCTCACCTTACCACTATACCCATTGCTTTTTTTTTTTTTTTTTTTTTTTTTTTTGAGAGAGAGATTTTTGTTATAGGGTGTGTGCACTTGCCAGAGAGACAGAGAAAGACAGAAAGCAAGAAATCATCCTCTGGGAGGAATGGCCACACTGCGATCCCTTCTCCATTCTCCTCTCAGGACCTTGGGCATGTACACACATGTACCTGGCATGAGTTTTAAGCTATCGGATCCAGGACTCAAACCACAGTCGACTATGTGGCAGTCCAGCAATGTAACTATTATGCCATGTGCTGGTCTCACACATTTCTTTTTGAAAAATTACAATTCCTGGGCCAGCAGGTGGTGTGGTGGTTAAGGCACTGGACTCTCACATGGCTGACCATTATTCAAGTCCCAGACCTGGCAGCTTTAAGATCATGCCAGGCACACGTATGTGCATGCCCAAAATCCTGAGAGAATGGAGGAGAAGGGATTACAGAGTGGTCATACCTCCTGGGGAATGATTTTTCACTTTCTCTTTCTCTTTCTCTCTGTCTCTGATTTTCTCTGGCAAGTACACATGCTCTATTGTGAAAACCTAAAAAAAGGTTTTTTTTTAATTAAATTCCTCCATTTATGCCAAATGTGTACTGATGTGTCTCTGTTTTCTCAGCCTTTAAGTTGTTCTCCAGTCCTGCCTGGTAAGAACCAGTGGAGTGGAGCCAGCAGGTGGTGTGGTGGTTAAGGCATTGGACAATGCCACATGGCTGACCATAGTTCAAATCTTGGAACTGGTGGCTTACTT